AATTAAATGTGTACATATTTCAAAATATTCAGAAAATTACGCAAATATTCACAGATTAAATGGTTCGAATGGTCATTGAGGTCATTGAATTTGTTTTTTTACGTTCTGTAAATATATTGAAAAAAAGTATATAGTGTCATTTAAAAAATTGTCGATGATCTTGAAATCTCGTCAAAAATTACTTTGAAAATATTTTCTCTCCACCTTTGAAATAATGTAACTGTTCTGAGAAATTTTTTAATAAAAAAAAAAATTACGGCAAATATTTGGATGATCGCATTTAGTTGAAATATCCTGTATGTATATTTATGTGATACAGCTGTTTCATTTTGTTCACTGCTTGATGGTCTGTCTGTCAGAAATCAATCCCCTTTTCTTGTATTGTATTTTACGAATCTACAGCTTCCATGGAAGCCCAGTTGTACATGCGAGAGCTTTCAAAAAACATCTTCGAAAATTCTATTTCAATCATAGATCTGGTCAGATTTGATAGACAATCCAACGATTGACAGACAGAGAATCTAACAATTAGGATCTAACCCAAGTCAATACCGAAAGATCATTCTTTAGATCGTTTAAAAAAGAGCAATCTTTTGGTATCGATTTGAATTCCATCAATTCTTCTGACAAATCGTATGTCAAATCTAATTTAGATTAAATTATACAATTACTAATTAATAAAACAGAATCAAATAGAAACAATTATATTTATTAGGTTTTTCATTTTTTTGACATTATTTATAATGACAGATTTATCACATTGTCCATAACATCACTAAAAGAGGAAGATTACTGACTTATATAATAGACGTTTATTACAGACATAAAGGATTTATGGAATACACAACTTCGCTCAACTCTCATTCATATAAGATATAAACTATAAATAGAAGATAAGATTTAGTTTCGGTCGACAAATTACTACTAATGTTATCACAAACACACAATTATATACAATTCATTATAGTGGAATCGATAGTTTGAAATTAAAATCTCGAAAATTAAGAAAATATATACGGTAACACGCAAAGGGAAAAAGTTAAAAAATTCAAAATGTTGATTTCTACAACATATTTAAAAATCATTGAAATCGATGATGGAGTCTGTAATAATTGCCCAAATATGCTACATTCTTCGCTTTTTCTTCTTTCCTTTTTGTCTTTTTTTTCTTCTATGTTTTTCACCACTTCTAATGTGAACTTTGGAAAATTTCGCAATACTTAACGCCATAAGTCGTTCGTTAACATATAATAACATAACAAGTTTTATATTGTTTGAAACTTGTAGAATGTGTACTATACCATTGGCTAGGGGACCCAAGTTTGCTATGATTGGCTCTGGTTTATTAAGACAATAGACATAAAAACAAAATATGCATTTCCTTTATTGGCCGAATGATAACATTTATAACATTTAAATTGTGTAGGTAACTGAGTATATCTTTTGCCCCTATAATGTCCTAACTACCAGATTCGTGTTATAGTTTTATGCGTTTATAAAACTATACAGAGTAACATGGCCGCCAGTTCTCGACATGTACGGAACCAGTTCCAATATGAAACCGGTTTGGAACTAGTTTTCATTGGTTTTTCGGCCTCTTGCAAGACCGTGCCACGACCGAGATTGGCACTCGTGTCAGACTTCTCTTAGAGGTTAGAACGGAGATTACGTTACGAGAGTGTGCTAATATGGCCGATAATACAGAGCAAGAAGGTAAGAAAAGTAGTTTTCAAACAAGGTTATATCCTATTATTGCCCTATATTCGTTGTAAATTCTACGCTATTTCGAATGTCTGGCGCTCATGTCGTACGCAAGCGTAGGTATATTCTTTCCTTTTAAAATTGTTTGACATTACTTTATATTGTTAATAAATATACTTATGAATATACTAGCTCTCCTTATTTCGATTATTATTATTCGTTTCATCGAAAACAGTGTTTATACACCTTGACATGTAAATATATTCTTAAAAAGGGGAATATCTCGACGAACAAATGGAAATCAACCTCGATGAACAAATGGAAATCAAAGTGGAACCGACGCTGCAGGGGTATGTTGAAGAGGAACACGAGAACGATTTCCCCGGTTCTGATAGTAACAACTTAATTCCTTCTAGTGCTGATGTCGGTACTTTAAATTTATGGACCAGCAAAGCAACAGCGTGTCTTATTAACCAATATAAAAAATATCATTCGATGGTAGGGCAATCAACTCAGATTCGAAGTTTACGTGGAATGTTCGAGACGATTTCTCTCGAAATGCAAAAACATGGCTTTTATTTTAGTCCACAAAAATGTGAAAACAAATGGCGTGTCCTCGAACGGAAGTACAAGAATCTGGTGTCCCGAGAGCTATTGAAAAAGCCCGGCAGGGTGAGGCATTATGGACAATGGGAGCACAAAAGGGCATTAGACGAGATTTTTAAGGAAAAGAAAAGGCATATGTATTTCCAAAAAAATGATTTTCCATCGCAAGCTAGTCGTGCAAGATACATGTTTATTTTACCGAAACCAATAAACGAGGAACAGAGCAATGTTACTGTCGTCAATCAGCAACAAGAGATCCCTCTTGCGGCGCCATCTTCGAACTCTTTCACAAACAAGAGTGAATTAATGGATCAAAAGGAAAGTCCAACAACGCTTTTCAATAAATTCCTCGAAGAGATAGCAAAGCATTTTGCAATTGCGGAGAAGAATAAAGAAAAGAGGCATAAAGAAGAAATGGCAATGCGACAGAGTGAGTTAGAAATCCAGAAAAGGCTGTTGAAATTGAAAGAGCAAAAAATAGAGTTGCAGAAACGTCAAATCATTGCCGCTGCTCAGCACCTACATTTAAACATGTAGCAAAAGCAATTGGTAACTTCTTGCTAATGAATCGTGTAGCAAATGAATTATTGAAAAAGTTTAATTTAAAAACGAGTGATTTGAAGTTTGACAGTTGTAAACAGCATTAAAGTTTGCAATTTTCATTCATTGTTTCTATGTAAAATAATTTGTACCAACAGAGTACAGAATGACATAAACAATGTAATTATATCTACTTTCCAATATGTACAATTTCGTAGATGCGTTACGTCGCGATTGCTTACTAGTTGCGTGAAACAACCTTCAGATGGTAGCACCTTCCATCTTGTCAGTTCCATGGCTGTGTGTCATTAGATAATCGATCTATGTCGAGTTCTGTTTTTTCGTCTGTCAAACCCGGTTGGCCACGTATTATTAGCGTAGTATTCTCTCTCTTAAATTTTACAAGAGGCAGTTTGCCATCGATTAAACGAATAAAAATTGTTAAGGATAACGAATCAAAAAAAAGATACCTGACTTGCACGTTATAATCTGATTGCGAAAGTCTAAAAATACTTCTGTTTGTAAAATCGCTGTAGAGACAAGTTCTACGTGTAACGTAGAACGAGTATATGTATCTCTCATGCTGCACATATACTCGTACGTCATGTTACACGGCGCAAAGACATGTTGGAGTTTGGTTTTATTGTTAAAAGTTACAGGGCGGTCGTTGCTGTTCAACATTGAGGATTACTTTCGCTGTGTATGCTGCCTCGTGCTCCTAATGACTCAATTTATTAAGCGGCGATTCAAAAGATTACCACCCTAGGCTTCGTCGCATTGATATTGCACCTTCAAAGGATCATGGAACGCGTAACGCTCGACAGAGATTTATAGCGCTTAAATGCAGTTTCATTATTCCATCTTATTAGATTAACGTAGATCCACTCTTTTTTCTCTCCCCCTTTGTATTTTCATTTTTTATTTATAGATGTTTCACGCAGATGTGCACCGTAAATTATACTAGCTCTCAACAGAAACATAATACTGATACAATGGAGATGAAATTGTTTTGAGATTTTCCGCACCGGCAATTATACTCGGGACAAACAAAACAGTGTTTGCGCTGTTTTCAAAATGGCAGGAAAAAATTTATCGTCCACGAAATGTAGAACGCCGCTCATTAAGCGCTATAGCGGGGAAAGTTGGTATCAGATTCAATTAACTCGGTGAATCGTATTTCGCGTAATTAACATTCTCGATATCAAGTCATTCAATTCGTGATGTGATTAATTGAATTGGAAACATTGAATGGCTGCGGATTAAGCGTCGCAGAGCATATTTTTCACCAGTACATTTTGCACGGATCACAGTGGAAAGTAGAATTTCATTAAAGACAAGATTTACATTAAGAGAATAGCAGACAGGGAACTTAATTTGACGGAACTCGATCGCAATCGTGTCGAGCACGTATCTTGATTCTGTAGTGGGCTGCCTTGGTGTCACTTTACATTATCCAGTGCATGACAATTATGTCGGAATTTTGAAAAATTCATTCTTATTGCGCAGCATAGATTGAACGGCAGGTAATTTCCCTCTAGAAAGTAGTCTATTTTCTAGTGCTTTAACTTTAATTTATATTCAATTTAAGCACGAGCTTAAAATCTGTATTTGCAACAATAATTTCAAACAATCTCAAGTTTTTTAATATTTGCATTACGATTGCCATTTCGCCGTATTATAAGGGAACGTATTATGATATAATTTCGACAAGCTGATTGGAATACTGAGACGCGACAAAGAGCAAACAATTTTACAAACTGTGGTGAATGCTTTTCGGGAAAAAATTGGTGAAACCGGTTACGTCCGGCCGCGTACGAGTATTCGTATGCATTGACGACACGTACACGGTGCGTATGACACACACACACACGAGCGTAAGAGTTATACGCGAGCACGTGCAGGTACGTGGCAATAGGTGCACCTCGGATAGTAGTACACGGAAGGGCGCCGGTTCGCTTGATACGGCTGTGAGTACGGCGGGTAATAGCGCGGAGGCGGCAAGTCGTCCAGTCGAGCCGCGACTACCGAGCGGTGAGCGTCATATCTTTAT